AACATGCTGAGCATGTTCGGCCGACCCGAAGCCACGCAAAGCCACCCGATGTACGGCTGATTTCAGCCGATATACGGCTGGAATCAGCTGTACCAGCCTGAAGTGAACAGCCGAACAGCTCACTTCCCTTGGGGTCGGTTAGTCACTCGGCTGCCTACGGCCCGCAGAGGGGACAGCGGAGCCCGGATGGAAGGTAACGGTGCTTGAGGGGGGTGGCGTTGCAAGGGGGGGGAGCACACTGCAGGGCAGCACATACAAGCGATCAGACAGCTATAGAGCCACCGATCGCTTGTATGTATAACAGCCGTTACCGATTGTTTACACCTGTCAGTGTGTTTTGCTAGCACACGCGAGCAGCAAAAAAAAAAAAAGCTGTACATTTACGGCGCCCCGCTAATAGGAGTTTGCCATCCGTCCGTTTATTTACAACGGGCGGACGGCAAGTGGCTAAATAACTTTTCGTGTCTTATATTAAACATAGTTATTTGAAACACTAACATTACCGTTACTAATTGTGAAATAAAGTACACAGCTGTACAGTGTACCTGCTTGAAAAGCATAAGGAATATTTCTAAAATAAATTATTAAAGTAATAGTTCCAAAATCATGACAAGTTCCTAGGTGAGACTATAATCATAGTGGTTTAGTAGATAATGAAATATGTGTACTAGGTAAAGGGTTTCAGGGCCATATGCACAACAGGGTGGATAGTGTCTACAAACATAGGATCACTGTTTGACAAAGAGTCTTGGATTTTATCATATGCTTTTTCTTTGGGGGGGAGGCGGGTGCTTTATTTACAAGTAGCTGGTAATCCAAGCATGGGTCTCAAAGCTCAAGTATTGTATTGAATGTGTGAAAGTACATTGCTATTTTTGTTATATTGTGGTCTAAGTGTCCACATAACAATTTTTTTAGAAACTGTGCAGTCCTGGCACTCTTACCACTGAAGTCACTAATATACTAAGATATACAGTTGTGTGAAAAAGTGTTGGCCCCCTTCCTGTTTTTTCATTGTTTTGCACGTTTCTCACACTTTAATGTTTCACATCATCAAACAAATTTAAATATTAGTCAAAGATAGCACAAGTAAACACAACATGCAGTTTTTAAAGGAATGTTTTTATTATTAAGGGAAAACAAAATCCAAACCCACATGGCCCTGTGCGAAAAAGTGTTTGCCCCCCCTGTTAAAACATAACTTAACATCAGAAGGGTCCAGGACCTGCTACAAAACCTATGTATGCAACCCTTCCCACACCTTCGCTCACGATAGGAGTTAACGGATTATTATAGGTACCTGCAAATCTCATATGCTCTGCCTTCCCTTCTGTCAGCATGGCCTCAGATGCAGTACAGATCTGGAAATATCTCTCATCTTTGCCCTCCCGTACGGGGGGCATTTCGCTCTTCTATAATCTTCTCCAACATTAGAGATCCTTTACTAAACTACCAGCCTTTCTGGCATGGGAGAAAGAACTGGGTGAGACTTTCCCCTCAGAGTCATGGGAGACAGCCTGCGGCTCCATTTACCTCGCCACGAAAAGTGCCGACCTATGGGAGCTCTACCATAAAATAACTCTACGATGGTACCTCACAACATATCGCCTAGCGAAATTCGCTCCGGCCAACTCAGCGCTGTGCTGGAGGGATTGCGGGCAGACCGGTACCCTTCTCCATATTCTATGGAGATGTAAGTCCTTAGCGAGCTACTGGAACGGCATTTTTCGGTGGATATCGACGATAACTGGTTGCCTTACTATTCCTGATCCAGCGCTTGGACTCCTACTCATAGGCATTGAACGCTTCCCGTTGCCTTTCCGAGCACTGGTTGTCCACACATTGGTGGCAGCTCAGCTCACAATTGTAAGGCACTGGAGAAGCTTGGTTAGTGTTTCTGTTCGTGAAACCCACCAAACTCTAACCTTGCACTATGATCTCGAGAGACTGTATGCGATCAAAAGTGGTACCTTAACCTCATTCCACAAAAAGTGGAAATGGTGGATTCCTAAGATATAATGATGTGTGACTCTTCCTCTTCTTTCCTCTGATTTGCCTTCTCTGTCTTTTTCTTTCCTCTCTTTCTAATCTCTCTACTGTATTTCAAGCAGATTATGAGTACTACAAAGCAAAGTCTTATTGTGATTATGACTGTTGTTCTTGCGAATGTATCAACCTCTGCTTAGCACTACCAAGTGCTCGTTTTTTTGTTTCTTTCTTTGCTTATTTTGCTTATTTTGTACTGTTGAGGCACTATCCGTGCTTGATGTTCTAAAACCAAATAAAAATCTATTTTGGAAAAAAAAACATAACTTAACTCTGGTTTATCACACCTGAGTTCAATTTCTCTAGCCACTCCCAGGCCTGATTACTACCACACCTGTTCGCAATCAAGAAATCACTTAAATAATACTTGACTGACAAAGTGAAGTAGACCAAAAGATCCTCAAAAGCTACACATCAGGCCGAGATCCAAAGAAATCCAGGAACAAATGAGAAAGAAAGTAATTGAGATCTATCAGTCTGGAAAAGTTTATAAAGCCATTTCTAAAGCTTTGGGACTCCAGTGAACCCCAGTGAGAGCCATTATCCACAAATTACGAAAACATGGAACAGTGGTGAACCTTCTCAGGAGTGGGCGGCCAACCAAAATTACCCCAAGAGCGCAGCGACGACTCATCCAAGAGGCCACAAAAGACCTCACAACAGCATCCAAAGAACTGCAGGCCTCATTTGCCTCAGTTCAGGTCAGTGTTCATGACTCCACCATAAGAAAGAGACTGGGCATAAATGGCCTGCATGGCAGAGTTCCAAGACGAAAACCGCTGCTGAGCACAAAGAACATAAAAGCTTGTCTCCGTTATGCCAGTAAAAATCTTGATGATCCCCAAGACTTTTGGGAAAATACTCTGTGGACTGACAAGACAAAAGTTTAACTTTTTGGAAGGCGTGTGTCCCATTATATCTTGCGTAAGAGTAACAACGCATTTCAGAAAAATATCATCATACCAACAGTAAAATATGGTGGTGGTAGTGTGATGGTCTGGGGCTGTTTTGCTGCTTCAGGACCTGGAAGACTTGCTGTGATAAATGGAACCATGAATTCTGCTGTCTACCAAAAAATCCTGAAGGATAATGTGCGACCATCTGTTCGTGAACTCAAGCTGAAGCGAACTTGGGTTCTGCAGCAGGACAATGATCCAATACACACCAGCAAGTCCACCTCTGAATGGCTGAAGAAAAACAAAATGAAGACTTTGGAGTGGCCCAGTCAAAGTCCTGACCTGAATCCTATTGAGATGCTGTGGCATGGCCTTAAAAAGGCGATGCATGCTCGAAAACCTTCCAATGTGGCTGAATTACAACAATTCTGCAAAGATGAGTGGACCAAAATTTCTGCACAGCGCTGTAACAGACTCTTTGCAAGTTATCGCAAACGCTTGATTGCAGTTCTTGCTGCTAAGGGTGGCCCAACCAATTATTAGGTTTAGGGGGCAAACACTTTTTCACACAGGGCCATGTGGGTTTGGATTTTGTTTTCCCTTAATAATAAAAACTTTCCTTTAAAAACTGCATGTTGTGTTTACTTGTGTTATCTTCGACTAATATTTCAATTTGTTTGATGATCTGAAACATTAAAGTGTGACAAACGTGCAAAACAATGAAAAATCAGGAAGGGGCCCAACACTTTTTCACACAACTGCATATAAACGTGGTGGGTAATTCAGCTCATAGGAGCTGAACCACAATTAAAATATCAGTTTTTGGATAGAGTAAGCCTTTAATTTTTGGCTTGAAAGCTTGGTTGAGGGTCCACTAGATTGGTCTATATCCTGATCCCAGGTATGCTCTAAAGTTGCCCTGTTTGGAAGGATTTCATAAGAAGTTTGTGTGATCATTATAACATTCTTAAAATTGAATGTATTGAGTATGAAGTGAATTTAATTTAGTAGTTTTATTATGAGGATAATCTGTAATCAAAATAAAGTATGATAAGTAACTTTACAAGTGAGTGATATGTCAATACCAACAGATAATGTTTCCAAAGCTTGACTCAGGAGGTCATTAATTACTTAACTGAAAGCTTCTTCTGTGATATCAAGGTTTACAGCAAAGACATTATGCAACGTAATATTTTTTTTAGATTTCAATGCGTCATTACATTTTGAGTGGTCTCAGTGTGTGTGTGTTTATGTGTGTACTGTGAGGTAGTATGATTTTGCTAGGTGATACCACATGATTCCTTGCCTATTTCATAGTTACACTTGTTGTAGTCAAAATTGTGTTGGAATAATGTGGTCATTATGTAAATATCTAACATAATGGGCAAAAAAAAATAATAACCAAGTCAGTTTTGATGGTAGTGTATTGTTGCAGCTGTATATCTGTGACACATTGTCTAAATTAAATGATAGACTAAAGGCAAAATGATACCAATTTACCGATCGCATGCTTGCTTTTGTGTTCACTTTGCTATCCATTTTTCATTATTTTTCTGATGATATAATTAGCATGTTTAAATACAACAGCACATTTATTATGTGTTCTCTCTTTTACCTTTGAATCTTTTAATCACCAAGATAAATTAGGTACAATTCAAATGGGTTTAGAGGTGTTACAAGGTAATGGAAATTTGTAAGAAACTGCAATCCCAGCTCTTAAAATACTTGCCTTATAAAGAATAATTATAGGCAAGGTAGCTTTTGATTATGATGTATGTGCAACCTCATGTAACCTCTTTAAAAACAAAAGCTTTGATAAAAGGTCTTCATTCAGAAACAACTCCATTAGTGTACAGTGAAGGTTTTGCTGTATAGTTAATGTGCTTTACAAAATAGCTATAAGTATAATTGGTTTCACTCGAAAGTAACTGGACATCTACAGTATTCCAGTATATCTGTTTATTTATGGTGATTAGCTATACCCAGATTTAAAAACAAGATTGGCAGCTTTGGCTATTAAGTCTCGCTGGTGCAAGATTGCCCAGTATTTTTATATGTGGGTTTAAGATGTGACTGCACTTATTTTGTAGCTCACCATTCCCTCAGCCACCACCCACCAGCCAGGCCAGCACCTGTGCGCTCTACCTTCAACCCTGTGCTCCACCAGAGCACAGAGTATGATCTATCCTTAGAGCTGAATATAGAATGCAAAGAGCATATGTGGACCTGGCTCTGAAGAATTTGACAAGGGCTCTTCGAATTTGCAGGTGATATATTGCTGGATTAGGGACTGTGAGTAAATGCCTGGAAGGGGAAGGGGGGGGGGGGGTGTTTATGGGAAGCTAGAAAATTATTGAGTAGATTCTTCTATATGTTCCTTTCTCTTGCCAACTCTACATTTTACTAGTGAGATATATGCACAGGAGATAAATAGTGATGGTCTTGTGCAGGACATGACAAGATGGCACACTAAGGGATACACACAGGCATACAAACTGCCATGCTGATTATTAGTTCAAATCATAGGTCCTAAAGAGTTTGACTGTATACTGATTTGTCTAGGTATTATTAGCAAGGCAGCAAAGCTCATAAACATCTCAAATCTTGGATAACTGGAAGCTTTTTTCCCTTTTAAGATCTGGTTCAGTCATTCTACAGTTTTCTGGTTGGGGTTTATTTCTTCTTTAGTTTAACAAACACAAATTTGGTGATAATGAAAAATTATGATTTGCCTGATTTCATCAAATTCCCAAGTTTCTTTTACCAGTTCACAGGGCTGAAACCAACATCACCAACTATGTTACCCGGAACACCCCTTTGGGCAGCAGTACTGCCATGAGCCAGTGCCTTGTAGCATTGGGCTGTAGTGCTTTCAGCAAGTTGCCCCTTTTCTGGGCACCCCTTTTTTATAGATCAGTACATATCTGCTATATATGTATTGAGAAGAGGTAATTAAGGAGGTTATTATCATCTGGTGTAAAAATATACCTCACCAATAGTGATGAGCTCGGGCGTGTTCGCAAGCGCCTTGTGCCGAGCCCGCCAGGAAGCCGTCAGCGCGCAGCGCCAATCACAGGCACTGAGACATGTTCCCAGTCCGCAGCTGCAGAGATCGGAAAATGTCTCAGTGCCTGCGATTGGCGCTGCGCGCTGACGGCTTCCTGGCGGGCTCGGCACGAGGCGCTTGCGAACACGCCCGAGCTCATCACTACTCACCAATAGGGACACTCTTTTTGACTCAGGAGGAGGATTTTAAGTGGACAACACAATCTTTTTTACCTTCCTTTGGACCAGTTGTGGGTAATATCTGTGGTTTTCCCCTTCCACAATGCAAATGTTTTTGTTTAGTTACCCATTTTTGCAACAGAAGCCATAGCATAAATGATCTCATGATTGTGGCGCTGATAGGGAACATAAATCACAGAAAGAGTGGTTGGAATTGGAATGTAAATGTGGTCCAAACAAAAACAGATATTTTATGTACCACATTAATTTTAATAAAATTCCTGAGCTCTGACTATAATGCCTGTTAGTTTTTCCTTACGCCACTGAACAATGATATATGGACATTTCAAAAGGACTCTTATCCCAAATGAGCTAACAAGCTTGCCTGCATGTCTTATCTCTTAGTCAATTAGCCCAATAAAGGTCTGATTACTATAGATATATCCTAACTATTTACAATAACAATTACTATCCATGTGTGTCAAAAAATAGCTACATTTCATTAATGGTTGTATTTTTATTTTGC